CCGGCATCGAAGCGGAGGAAAGGGATCCCAACTCGGAAACGCAGGGGACGTTGGAAGAACTTGTGAGGGCCAGGACGGATGTGTTCCCCCCCATCCCAAGAAGGCAAGGTGGAGTGGGGGCTGCTCTTCTTGGATGGGCAAGGCCTTAGTGAGTTGTTGCAACTTCGCTCCTGTCTTCCCACAGGGAGGGCAAGATGGAACCTTTTGCACTCCCCCCACTTCCTCGTCTCTTGGTGGCAGCACCAGGAGCCATGCTCCATGCCAGTCCCTGCCATTACATCTGCTGGTTTTTGTGGTCCAAGCATAACTGCAAAATTTATTCCACTCCCAGCAGGCTGCCACGCATACTGCCAACTTGTCAATCTGTGGATGTCTGTCTTAAATTATAAAGGGAACATTTGCTGAAAAAATTCAGAGAAAATGGATGGGGCCATACGATAAACAGGCCAGATTCCTTAGTCAGACCCAGGGCTCCTGCAATACTGTTCCCCACATCACAATGGTCTTCTTTGCTCAGCCCTGCTGTATGGGGAGCTGGTCCAGTCCCCTTCCTCAGTCTGCTCCATTGCTGGAAACCAAAACCTTTTAAAGTTTCACGCTAGGTAGGAGGCAGGAAAGTCAGAGGAGCGTTGCATAGAAGAAAGCCTGTCTCCTCTGAATCTGACAATACCTTTTATTCCACCGGAGCCCATCTTGTGGAAACTCAATAAACTATTTTCATATGATCAGATCTCCCTGGGATTTGTTAAATTCTTATTTGAACACCTGTGACTTGAGTGGTGAGGAATGGCAGGGCTGCATGGAAGGAAGATGGAATTCCACTCTCCCGCACGCACCTTATTAAGTACAAAATTGATAAAATTAGTAATTTGTTCCAGTTCCAGAGAGGGAACTTCCCCTGCCCTGCTCAATTAGCTAATTCCTCTAGGGTTCAGTCTCACATTCAGGGAGAACCAAGAGATGTGCCCAGGAAAGGATTTGGCAGATCCAGAAAACTCCACCCCAGCCTCAAATGCCAAGACTCTGAGAAATATAAAGAAGCCCTTCCAATTTTATGAAGTCCCACAGCATTGTAGAAACGGTGAACAGACCCTACAGGGATACCGTGTAGATAAGGTGGTTGAGGACAGGTGCCAGTGAACAGAGATGATGCAGCCCAGACATGTCCATCTCCTGGCATTTGAACAGTCTACGATGCTTCCTTCACAGTGTGGATGTGATCAAGGTCTGGCATCTGACCCCTTTGCAAAGTGCCATCCAGGTATTGTGTAGGCTTCATGCATACCAGTCTCCTGGAAAACCACTAGCTTTGTGATTAAGTATTTTGGTGCTCTTTCAAAAGACCAACAACCCAAGCTGTAACAAACAAACAAACAAATTTAAACTGGGAAAGGGAGGGTGGTTTGGTCTCAGATGAAAGGCTCTCTGTTGCTTCCACCAACAAGGGGTTTTCCATGGGCACCTTTATAACTTTGGGAGGAAAGCAGTGCCTACCCGGCATCCTCCATGGGCCCTCCTGGGTGCTGCCAGTTGCCACCACTCAATGTCATCCTTGCAGCACTTAGATTTGGGATATTTGGGAGCTGGGGAGAAATTGTCAAGAGTTCTGCCAGTTTCCCCTTCCAGTGACAGAAAGAAGAGGAAAGCAGACAGCTGTTGGGCAGGCTGACTATTCCTCTTGTTACTTGAGCTTCCAGACCAGTGTTTCTCAACCTTGGCAACTTTTAAGAGGTGTGGAATTCAACTCCCAGAAGTCCCCTGGGGTTAGGATTAGGGTTATTCTGGCTGGGGAATTCTGGGAGTTGAAGTCCACATCTCTTAAAGTTGCCAGGGTTGAGAAAGCTTATTCCATACGACTGGTAGACTCACATTCAGAAATGGCCCAAGTGACCAGTTACCAGTGTGGAGCAATGAAAGGTGACTAAAACCTCCATCCCAGGTAAATACCTGAGCACGCCCGACCTGCCCATCACATTTTAAGGAGGGTGATAGCTGGTGGTTCTCCCTGCTAGTGGCTGACACTGGATGGGAAGGCAAATCCCCCAATTGTTGCCCTTAACTTGTCCCTCACTAAAACTATGAGGACAGAACCATTTGCAAGCTAAGCCATCAGGGCAGCATAAATAAGACAGGATTTTTCCAGCCCACTCGAGGACTGGAAGAATGTAGCCAGGAGGAAGAATCTAGGCATTATGTAAGACTGCCAGCGATATTATGCTAAATATATTAGCAGATTGGATAGCCAAGTAATCACCATCAAGGATAGATCAGCGGTACATATTGTGTGATACATCAAAATTCTGTATTATATAATTGCCCCCTGTCCAAATGGTACCTAACAATGTACAAGAGTCCAACCTATTCTCTTTGGCTACTTTAAGGGCATCCCGTTTGGCAGAAGATCACCCTCCCCAGAGACACCATCCACAGATGTGGCGGCACCACTGAAAAGACCTTCCCGCAAGTGTCACCCTTCTAAATGGTGATGCAAGGGAAGCTGGGTGCTTGTGTGTGTGCACTCAAAGACAATCTCAACAATGCAAGGAGGAGGCCGTTTCCAGAATATAAATAGCTTCGCAGCCTTTGGGAACGGCAGAAGTCAAAGCAAGTGACTCATTTTTTTCAAAGGCCCAAAGTGACAGGCCCCAACGAAAACATCCCCATCTGAGAAGAAGGGCATGACCCTTCTTCAAAAGGAGGAGGTGATATAGCTCTAAGTTTGGAAACTTTTTTTTAATGTTAGTGCATATTTTAACAGTGAGTTTCCTGAAAGCAGAACTGTTTGGCTTTCCCCAGTCGGTGACCTGTGTGTGTCTTCCTTGGACAACATGGTTCCCAGCCCTTGAGTCCTGCTTCTGATAAGAATAATGGAGGTTAGGGGTCAGCACATCTAGGGGGCACCAGGCTGAGAAGGGTGCTTAGAGTGTCAGCTGTGAACTTCCCAGGACAATCGAATTTTCATCAAGCGGGACGATTCTGAGAAGTTAAAAGCTGCCCTGTCTCCGGAGCAGAAACAACATTTGCCATAATCCTATTTATTCCTTCTGTTCCTGGAAACCAGAAGAACCTTCCTGCGTTTTTGAACTAACCAAAGAGATGGAAGGGGGCTGTCTCTGCATTCAGCCTTATGTCTCTTGCTATGTATTGGCATGAAGCAGCATGCTCCCAAAACGAGAAGAAACAGGATAAAACGGTAGGCTTGCAGGAAAATACCGTAGGGAATAAAAAGAGGGATCCTCCCAGGTTTGAAGGTTTCTCCTGCTGCCATCGGAAAAGTAAAATTAACACAAGCAAGTCAAAGCAGAGGACATCAAATTTTACCCGCAAGGAGCAAGTTGGGAAAGCACTAGAGAAGGGAAAATCAGAAAAACTTTTTCTTTCTTTTTTTTAATTTCTCCCTAGCCAAAACAGGGACAAAAAGGAGTTTGCTTTTGGAAGGAAAAAGTTGATCCGTGGAACTATTATGGCTGGACCAGCAGTTTGAGCCCCTGACCTCCTCCCTTCTTCTGCCATCTCATCCTTCGCTACAGCCCCCTCTGAAGCCGGAAGCCTCCTATGGCTTTCTTGAGGCTTATCAGGCATTTGCCAATTGGCACCAACTAGGAAGGTGAAGCCTGCTGTTCCTGTGCCCAGTGTTTTTCAAACTTGGCAACTGTAAGACGGGTGGACTTCAACTCCCAGAATTCCCCA